CCCCGTTTCTGCGACAATCGTCTGACCAGGGCGCATCTCATAATTTATTTAACCGGTGCTCTTCCATTGACTCGCAGCTGAGTTCCACGCTTGGAAGTAGTGAGGGTCACCGAGAATTCCTCTTTTTCACTTTGAGCAAAGTGAGTGGCACGCCTTCGCAGTCTTATCTGCCACGCGGCCAAAAAAGGAGATTTTGGAGACAACAGGATGATTTCATTTCAAGAAAAGAGGGGCTTTGCTGAATAATAGGAGTGCCTGCACTTCAGAACCATCAATGCCTTATATACAATAAAAAAAAAAATCTCAATAATTTATGGTTGCCATTGAAAAGGTTAACGCATGTAAATTTAAGTGTAACTTCCAATCAAAAGAATTAATTATAAAGTGGTACATTATATTATAGCAACACCCATCATACAAAAAAAAGCATTTTTTGCATTCAATTTTCACAAACTCAAATAACTTGTAGTAGAATTTTTAGCATAGAGATTGTGTTTTTTATTTTGATTTTTTGACAATGAAAATCTCACAATGAATCTTACAATGGTCAATGACATCAAACAAGTAAAGGTATCTGATATCATACGTCCCACCCTAATTAAAAGAGTCTAAGAATTAGGTCATGTTCTAAAGATTTCATAATCAAAAACATTGTCAATAAATCATTTTCCTTCTGCAATGGAGGGATTCAAGGCCAACTCTCTCTAGATACGGAGCATTAGCCAACCGAACCATATAAATTAAGATGCGGTATCAGAAAAGCATTTACTTTTGATAACACATGAAGCCATAGATAGCAAATTAATGTAGATATTGAAATATAACAAAATCAAGAAATCAAGTTATAATCAAGTGCAAATAGAAAGTCAATGACAAGATCTAAAGAAAAAAAAAAAAAGCAAGTGAATGAAAAGCGAAAGTACCAAATAGCCAGCAAACAATGCCCTTCAATACCGAATGGATGTATAGAGGGACATATGGTCATATGCCTACTTTCCCCCCATAATAATAATGCTTTTGTTAAAGTGATAAAAGAACGAAATAGAAACGGCAAGTAAATTTCACATGCAAATGCACCGATCAGATATACCTATATCCGTTCTGTTAAAAAACAGGCCTGAAATAAACTGTAAAGTAGGTGTGGTAATCATCAACACAAATGTCCTTTCCAGCACAACCACTAAATATCAGTACTTTCCAGATAAGTTTTAAGACATAATAAAATAAACAACAAATGCCAACTTACTGCTTGTCGCAGTACATCAATCATTTTAACATGCAGTATGGTTTACGAACTATAGAATAAACCATTGGCTCTCCTTCCACTATAGGTGCAAGAATACGGCTTCTTTTGGGTATTGATCATGCACATGGTCAAAAAGATTTGTCTACCATGATGTTTCCATTGGCAGAAGACCACAAGTGTGGTTTCTATGTAGAATAAGTTTCATGAAGCATCAACTTATTTAGGAATCTCTTAATGGGGTTGTGGACGTGTCTGAACTATAAAAATATCTTTACCCACAACGCATCCTTCAACATCTTGCGGGCAGCCAAACTTTCTCTCCAGGAAGGAGCCGACAATACAGAGGCGTTGACCAAGCCAGCAACGAAATATTGGGTCAACTGTCAATGGCTTTTTGCTGTAGTCTACTGTCAAATGAATAACTTCACCATCAGCAGGCGCTGCACCAGTTACCAGCATCTTGCTGAAATTTGCAAATGCCAGTGTCCGTACATGCCCATCAAACTTCCCACAAGAGAGACGCCAAGGAGTGCCCCTGGTTCCTGATGCGAGGGTTTCGCCAAGTCCTGGAGCAATCTCAGCCTCCATGTATTTATGATCATGGTCTGTTGGGCTTAGTGTGTGAAGCACAAAAGAAAGATCTGGGGAAAGCATTTCTTGGACCAAAACAGCCATTCCAGCATCCCTTTGAGACACACCAGCAGCTCTACGGCTAAGGACTGCTCTCCGAGTATAGAGTGAAGCCCATACTCGGCTAACAGCATTTGAAAACACTATTGGATTAGAGGGGCTAACATTCGGGATTGATTCATAGAGCCCAGCAGCTGACATTCCAGCCAAGTCCTCCACATTGGCACTTGAACGAACAAATAAGCATGAACTTTCAGGAAATATTCTGCTTATGCTATCAATAACATCTTTTGGGAGCTGTAAGGAAGAAATCAGTTCCTGGATTTCATAACACAGTTTGTCCAGTTTGCCATCATCCAGCCCAGCAGTTTCTATCAGCTCTAGTAAAGATGTGAATTTTTCTGTTGATTTGCTCTGTTCTAAGGCCAATTCCATGGAACCAAAGGGTATAACCACTCCAGCAGGGACACGAAATGAAGCTGGTACCCCTTCATCACCGTAAACTGCCATTAAGAGAGGAAAATCTGAGAAATTAATACAGGAGAGAACAACCCCAAAATGTGAAAAAAAAAAAAAAAATGAAGCAGAGAAGAACATAAGCAGGAAATTTTTTTGGTTATACAATTCATCAGGTAAAAGATGTAGTCCAAACAAACATTAAATCCCTAGCCTTTCCCACCCTAAGGATTTCAAGAATCTGAAGGAGAAACTCTAAATTAGACATGAATTTCACTGATAGACTGTTGAAAGGAGAAACGTATTAGGTTATAGACCGGAGAAAAGTGAATATCAGGATGTCTTGGCACTTTAAATGCTATGACTCCCTATGAAACTGCTCAAATACCCTTAATGAATCCATTTTGTTTGTTGACTCATTAAGGGTATTTTAGTCTCTTCATTCAGTCTTGGCATTTTAATTGCCAGGACGTCATGATTTTCACTTTTCTCAAAATCTATAACCTAATATATTTCTCCTTTCAACAGTCTATCATAGAAATTCATGTCTAATTTAGAGTTTCTCCTTCAGATGTATGGCCATAAGCACAACCTTTAACAAGCACTTGGCAGAACAATGGGTAAAGTAAATCAAGCTTATAAAAGCCTCCACAACTTGCAAAAATTTTAATCCTTTAATTTACCACTTCACATAAAATATTCCAAGCAGTTGCAAATAAATACTTATTTTCATGTATTGGCATGATCTTCTTTACAAGCTTAAACTATTAAATCAAATTAATTATTTATGAGAAAAGGGAAAATCAGGATGTCCTAGCATTTTTCAATAATAGCCACATGATGTGTTTGATGAACTTAGGGCCCACACTATAACCCACATATTTAATGGTTGTGGTTGGATGTCCTAATATTTTTAATGCTAGGATATCTTGATTTTCCCCTTTCTCATTATTTTTTTATATCTTCAAATTTAATTTTTAAAAACAGTTTATTTTTCCCTGTTGATGGTCTACTTCAACAGAGGAAACAATAAAAAGCTATTATTATCCTTTTTAGCCCACTTAACTAAGTCTCAATCCTTAACTAGCTACAAATGGCTAAATAATGCTTTTTCCTCATCCAGTCCACCCAAGGGTTATAATCTCTAAAGAATTGGAACACTTTACTTCTTGTTTTACCACCTTGTTTCATGTGTTCTGTAGCCAATAGGTAACCAAATTCGTTCTCCCTGCCTAAGGGCCTGTTTGATATAGTGGTTTGGAGGTAGTGGTTAGTGGTTTTGCCCAAACTACAAAGGATAAGTGTTTGATATACTTGCATATTTTGAAACTGCTACATTCAAAGTGTTTGGTAAAAACTTTTATTTAGTGGTTTGAGACCAGTAGATAGTGGTTAGGCTCCAAACCACAAGCGGATTAAAAAAGCTAGCTTAGGTAGCTTTTTATACCAAATTATTAGTGGACTGAAATTTTTTTGATTTTATTTACAAATTTATCCTTTTTAATTCTTTTAATGTTTTGCCATGGTTTTTATTAATATTTATCTAATTAGTTTTAACTTCGTTTTTTGTCTTTAATAACATTAAGTGATCATTATATTTTTATTTTTACATTAATTTATCATAAAAAATGTATTAGCTTGATAAACTTACTAATTAGACAAAATGATTAAATTATTGTTTTATTTAAAAATAGTATAATTTTTTCTCTATTAAAAATAAAAATGAGTGTGCAAAGGGTGATTGCACTATTATATTCTATTTTATTTATTTATCTTCTTATTATTTTTTTATAAAATTAATAATTTTAATAATAAAATATATATAAAAAATACACTTAATTATTTTTAAATATTTCCTTATTAGTCATTTAACATTGAACAACAACCACTAACTATTGTATAACCAAACAATTATATCAATTGAATTCGCTATCTATATCTGCTAACCGCTTTCCACTATCTGCCACCTACTATTCATTAACCACCACTCGCTATCCACTACCGCTATCTGTTATCTGCTACCTTTCGTTGAATTTTAACCGCTATACCAAACAAGCCTTAAGTCAACTAGTGCAGCATAGCATTCCTAGGTCTACTTTGGCATATGCTTAAACCATTTGAGACATGCTTCTCTAAATTTTTCATCAAGTGAAAGTACCTTCAACATTTTGAGAATAATGTTGTGGCTTGTCCTATCCTTTCATGCACAACCATGCATCTCAATCCTTAATCAAGCAAGACCATTATGGTAAGTTGTTTTCTAACCGCTCAGCAAGCAACCAATACCAACGTAAAGCATGACTGGTATTATTGCCACTACAAAGAATTTCCCTTTCAACCATCATTATCCTTTCAATAGGGAGATAAGAGCTTTCCCTAAGCATTTCACTTGGTCTCCTAGACTTCATTTATTATTATTATTATTATTATTATTATTTATTCTATGCTATTATTTCTTGTGTTATATTTGATTTATTTATTATGGAGGGTGGGTGGGTCAGGGATGCTATCCATGGTATAAAAGGTCTTACCCTCATCAGAAACTGCTGACAATGAAGCTAGACGACCACAAGCTGCAGCCTTTGCACCTGAAGTTAATGCATCAGCATCAGCCAGCGGTATAACTCCTCCAGCAGAACTACCCTGATCAAGACAAAACCTTTGTCAATTTATTAGACAACATCAATGAAAACTGCCAGATTGATGGCTTCTTAGAATTGGAATAGCAGATCATCAAGGTAAATAAAAAGATAACAAAGGTTACCTGAATAGAGTAAGATGCCTTAACAGCAGAGTACAATTTGTCATGGGGTTCAGTTGCTTCAACAACAGCTGAACTATTATTCAAAATATTTCTTCCAAGATCACCATCAAAATCATGTGTTCGTGATTGACTCATATTGACACCACTTGAAGAAGCTTCCAATCTTTAGTTCAAAAAAAAAGAAACAAAAAAATGAACATATAAAGCATTCAATAATCAGAAAATTTCATTTACTTCATTTTCAGGCTAGACAAAACAACCTCACATATTTTCCTGAAAGCTTTTGTATGTCAGAAACTACATCATCATCTTCACATGTCACAAACACAACCTTCTCCTGTAGTAAAATATTCAAAACCAAATATTGTCAAAATATATCCATCACAAAGTCTTGCAATGACTTTGATATCATTAGATAGAGGAAACTTACTTGCCGGGCCCTAACACCAAGATGTGATAAGTGAGGCAGCTCCTGCAGAAGCACTATTCCTTTTATGTTAGTCCCAGCAGCCATTACCTGCCAATTGTTTTTATATGAGAAAAGGTGAAAAATATGCAACATAAGAACATATAGTGTAGTAGAATGCGCAAAACCTCCTCATCCCCATCAGCTTTCTTAACTACAAGAATAACAGGTCCCTCAACAGATGACGGCAGCAATCCAGGGGCAATGTTCTCAACCTGAATTAAAACTCAGCATCAAAAAACTCTGCAGAAATGTATAGCACACATGGAGACCAGGAACAAGATATAGTATGTATGTATTAGATATAAAGCTGCCATCAAATTAACCCAATGATGTTCGTACCAGTGTGTGCATTAATTTGCATTTATTTACAACTGCATCTCTCTCCTCTCTGGTTTGATTTACTATTACACTAATTAGGGTCAGATTCCAATGTGTGCATTAATTTGCTGTTATTTACATACCAAAGTGCTATAAACCCACCTTTTAGGAGATGTTTTCCGTCTATATCCAATATCAAATGCATTAGCCTCATTAGGATGAAACTAGAATCATAAGCTGAAATTTAGTACTAAAAATGCAAGATGGTGCAATTCTCCCACATCTGAAAATGTCCTTGTTCCAGAAAGAAGCAGTAAGATTCTCTGAATCTGATGAAAATTGCAAACCATAAAATTCTGGGAATGATACTGAACTGATGCAAATATGCATATTTAAAATGTCAAAACCTTTGTCCCGAATAAATATAAAGGTATAATTGACCATGATTCTAATTTTAAAACGCATGCTCAAGATAAGTATGTCCAGAGTCCTTAAGCAGTGGTCCCTAATCATCTAGATTCTAAGTTCCTCTCAAAGATCCAACTTAATATTTCTCAATCTAGAGAATAACAAAATATAATCAACTTTCTGAAAAAAACTTCACGTTAGATGTTTTCTAGATGTGGCAAAATTCTACTACAACCAACAGTTTTTGTGTTAACATCAGTTCAATAGATATTAAAAGCCACTTGATTGTTGATACCATTGTCCCTTTATTTTCCATTTTCAAGTTAAAGTTCGGGTTTTTATTGCAGCCAAAAAATTTCAAAGGTTGATTAATTCCACGATGATGGTGTATGTTGGTAGTAGCTTCTGCGGTTTACAAAAGGTGTGAAGCTTGTTCTATGTCCAAGCTTTAATTTAACACAAACCATGATGAGAAACTTATTTGGGAGCTTGAATAAGTCTTATTAGTGCTATTGGGTCTTTCTTTATTACCATATATATTAAGTTTGTTTTGATTTTAAGATTCAGGGGTATTCTATTTATTTACTGTTTATTAGTTTTTGGGCAGTACAGTTGCATGTTGGGTCTTTATAAATTTAAAGAACGTAGTATTTAATATTCTCTTATTCTGAGTGTACATCCTGATTGAACTAGGTCTTAGGAACCTCCATATAATTGCTTCCATGTCTTTCAATACTCAGTGAACTATTTTAGGACTTTGTTTCAGAAATTAGGCTCCTAAGATTGTGTGATGCAGACACAGTTATGTTGTTGGCCAAAAAAATGATAGGTCCGACTCCTAAAGAAACATAGGTGTGACTACTAAAGCTTTCTATTCCTCTTCTTCTAATTCCACACATAAAGCCTGAGTTACTGTTCAAAAATACTGTTCACAGCCTAGTACCAACCATTTTTCCTCAAATTGTAGAAAGCTAAAATTCAATCTTAAGTTTAAACCATTTAACCAATACAAACCCAAACTCTCATCAAAATCACCTACACCTACACTTCTAACCACCCCCCCTTCAAAATAGCCTAAAACTGACCCAGCAAACTCTAAATCAACCACACCCATTCAGGCTGTGTGACATCACATGTACAGCTATAATTATAAATGTACAGGACTAAGTTTGATGCATTTCACTTGAAGTGATCTGAGGTACCTGAGCCAATGTTCCACAAGCAAATCCTGGAACAAGAATATCCCAACCCTGACTACCAAGTGTGGTACGAACAGCTTTCAGAAGAAGGGTACAGAGTTTTGAAACCTGGAAAATTACTCTATAAAAGAAAATTTCCAGTTAAACTAGGAAGACAAATGTTTCATATGCAGTCAGTAATACAATATTATGATTATAGGTATCTAAGAAGTGCAACAGATAGCTTCATGTTTAACAGAAAGTGCATTGCTGTCACAGAAATTAATATCAAGTCCCTTAAAATCAATAATTTAAATGACTAAATTTATATGGAATAAAAACCACGTGATATCTCATTGATCTATCTGATAGTGGATAATCAATAATTCTATATAAAACAACAAAAACCAAATACAAACAGTGCCAATGATGGTCATCTAATTCTAACATCATCTGCAATTATCTTATGTATGAAGACCACATCCAATTTCTGGCACTCATCCAGATTCTAGACCAAAGCATCCTCTCCCTCTTCCTTCCTAACTTTCAGAATCAAGCTCAGTCTTTTTAATCAATCACAGTACCCTTTTCCAAGTTCAAAACATTGATCCCCTCAAAAGCTTTCAAAACACCCAGATTAAGTTAAAAAGGCCAGGGTGCGGCATTGGTGATTGGAGGTATGTCACATTTTTATTTTTGTATTATAATGAGATTAAGATGTTTTATATGAATAATAAAGCTGAGTTTAATTAGGTTGTTATTGAAACTAGATTCTTTATTTATTTTCTTGTCACATCATGTCAGAAATATCTGCAAACTTTCAAAGGCCAAGACAACATGACTTATCATCCTTCACATAATTCATGTACGCTTCATGTCACTTCCATTAATATTTGTTCTTGATAAAGCAGCTCTGAATGTCAAGGAACTTGATTTCTCTCTTTCGCTCCAAAGGGACTTCATTGCTTAACATTAATGTTTAGGAATAACAATGCATACTCAACAGAAATTAGGGGATTGTTGACACCCATATTCATCTAAATATCAGCATCAAAAGCTACCAGTATAAATGGTATAGCCCTTAAACAGTAAAACATCTTTGAAGACAATATCAGAGGAAAAATGCCAACATACCCTGCACGGATCTCAGCTTCAGTATATGTCCTTACACTGTTTTCTGGTATTCCAAGAGCATTTCCAAGTATCTGCAAGAGCAAAGAAATAACTTCTACAAAGGGTTCCTAGTTTTGCAATGTTACATGAAATTTGCATGATAGAGGTTGATAATACAGGAAAAAATCTAGCAAGACCCTTGTTCTTCTTGTCTTACAAGCTCTTACCAAATCTAACTCTAACTTTTATGTAGTGTAGTAGTTCATCAACATTAGCAACAACTTTAGAAATGGGAAAAAAAAATCCAGGTCTTTTAGTCCACAGAAAACATTTATAATTTTGACCAGTCTAAGAAATTTCTCATCAACAAGATAAATGATGAAGTAAAAAATTTGCTTCTCACATGATAAACAAATTCTTTTACCTGAACTTTTTGAGGGAAAATCTGAAGGAGTGCTTCAGAATATTCTTCAGTTAGCCTCCTCGCTCTATCAAGGGTAGCTTTGAGCCTTAATGCCCATATTGTTTTGCCATCTTCACTCCCTTCATAAAATATATTTGCATGAAAGACCAAGAAAGATATGCTTGCACAATGACACACCCATAGCAATTTCACTATATGTAACAAACATTTTCCAAAAGGGAAGACAGCAGAAAAAGATACCTTCCTTCTCAAAAAGACCTTTCTCTTGCCAAGAAATTAATTCATTTCCAATAGCAGTGCATTCTTCCAGCTTCCAACCCGATAAACCAAGCTGACGAAGACCAACAACAAGGGCACCAAGTGGATCATTCCATGAACTTATATTTTTTGATTCCACATTATCTGCAAGCCAATTTGCTCCTCCCATATCTTCAAGTGCATTGAGCAATCTAATTAGATCAACAGAGATCAGTAACATGTAAATAAGAATTTAAGAAAAAGAAAAAGGAAATATTTCAATACAGCGATTGTCAATATAACTCCAACCAAGGAATTATTTTAATGGTGAATAGTATAACTGAATGACTATAAACCACTCTTTATATATGACAACTTTTTCAAACCATCTATGTCAGATGCATGTGGTATGACCGAAAAAAAATATGCAAATTTTGAAAAACTACAGATTAAATTCATGAAAGGGTAAACAGTTATGTGAAAATATTTCTACAAGTTTAATAGACATAAGAAAACTCCCATGAAGCTTTCAAACTCTTGAGAACAAATATAGTTTTTTTTTTATATTTTATTTTTCTAAAAAATTCCTCTAGAATGATTCTGTAGCAGGCAGTGACATTATCCAAAGTTGGAGTCAGATGCATGATGAATAAAGATCTTAAGATGGTAACTTGAAGAAGTATCCCACAGACATCAAGAGAAAGAATCAGGAAATAAGGATACTACCAAACTTTGTACCATTCCAAACACAACAAACAAATGTCAAATGAGTACGTATACCTGCTTAAAAGGACAAATGAATAGTCCTCAAGACCAATCTCACAAAGCCGCCACTGATGCAGAACAAAACCACCCCCCCCCCCAAAAAAAAAAAAAAAAAAAAAAAAAAAAAAAAAAGAAAAAATATCAAATAAAGGAAAAAGAAGAAGAAAAATCCAAGGTTGAATATTGTCCACTAGAAGCTTCTATTCACCAATAGAAAAGAAAATATGCGAGATACCCCCCCCCCAAAAAAAAAGAAAAAAAAAAGAAGAAATACAAAAC